CTGTTTTGGGGAGGATGCGGGATCTGAGCTCTGCTTTTTGCAGATGTAAATGCTGGACTGTGTAAGGGCAGAACTCAAAAGTCCACCGGCCGTAGGAGAGGCGCGAGAGTCAGGGCAGCGCCCCGTGCACCTCACTCTGCCCCGACTAAACTCCCGGGACCAGCGGAGAGCACTCCCCCTTCTTATTTGGTTCTTGCCTAAAACAGAACCACCTCTCCTCACCCCAGGTGGGACTCGAACCCACAATCCCTGACTTAGAAGGCCAGTGCCTTATCCATTAGGCCACTGGGGCCTTGTGAAAAGATGAAAAAAGTGTAATTTCGGTACCTTTGAGACCCCCCCCCACCAATGAACCGACCTGGCGGTGGCGAAATCCGCCACGTCACAGCACAGGCTCTGCTCTGCCTAAAGAGGCCCCGCTGGCGAGCGCCTCCCGAAGCCTGCGAGACTCGGCCGGCGGTGGTGCGGCGTTCCACCTCCAGGGCCAGCGGCCTCCTGCACTCACAGGGCGGCTTCCGAACAGAGAGCGACTGCCTCCTGCCCAACTCCTGCCGTGGCGTCAGGTTAATTTAACAAAATGACATGTGCTTCCTTTGGTTAGGAAAAAAATAAACTAAAATTTGAGCAAATAACTTGCTTGAAATGGTAAATACTCTATTTGCTACTTAGCTATGCAGTTAGACTGCTTTCACTCTTCCCTTTCTTTCCCCCCAAACCTGCTACTGCTCATGCGTTCAGCAGCAGAGGGAGCTCTCACAGAGCAGAGGGCTGGATGAAGGGGACAAAGAATAAAAAAAAGTAGCTGACAAAAATCTGAATTTTTAGTTTCTCTCGAACATGAACAGTAATTTTTCTGCAGAATGATTGACAGGCTGTCACAGCTTGAACATTAGGTTCAAAAGGAGATGTTAAATATTTTTATTTACACTTTTAGACCATTTTTATTCAATATAGGTCATCGAGTTTAGCATCATCTACGGCTGCCAACACCATTTCTTTAAAAGGACGGTATGCCAAGGACTTTGGTCTCTGCTGTTCTCAGTCAAAGTCTGCCTTCCTGCTCTGTTTTATATCTGAGTGTATCTTTTTCTGCCGCAGTCGTTCACGATTCATTTTTTCCACCCTAAAACAAAATTAAAAGATCCTTTAGTGTACAAAGAAAACATTTAAATATTCAACTTTGAGCACAGTTATAGTGTAGCTCTGATGAGGCACAGACAGAAAAAACAGTCCCTGTTCTCGGGATGCTACCCAGGAAAGCAGTTAAGATCTAACGGACTAGAAATCCAAATGAGTATGAAGATCGTTTAAAGAGCCTGCAAACTAAACCATGTAACATGATAATCTGAATCCATCTCAAATAAAGGCCATTTCAATAAAGATACCTCTCTATGAGTTTCTGTGTAGTCTCCTTAGACACCACCTTGGGCTTCTCAGTGGCCTCCGTGACCATGGTTCTGATTTTTTCTAAACAAATCGCCAGATTCCTCATTTGGTAGCGACTCTCTTCAGAGTTCACAATCAGCTCACCTGCTCGGTTTATCTTATTCCTGTGCTAAAGAGGGGAAACCACGATGAGATCACCGAAACCTTGCGAGGCATGTCACGTTCTGACTGAAAGTGTGAAATTTAAACAGTGGCTGGAAGGGGGAGGGTAGTTACCATCGATGCCATTTTTTGTCTTGCAGCTTCTGGGATCCAGTCTGCTGACGCCAGGTGGAACCGAACTTCTGCCTTGGTATTCACTGGGAGGAAAAACAGGATCTTTTTTTCAATGTAATGGCTCGCCTTCCTAAGCTTTATGAGATAATTCTGTCTGTTCACTGCTGGCTTTGAACACAGGATGATTCCAGTATTAATTTCCTGAAAGATCACCATTTTTTTCTTGCTATATTTTTACATACTACTCTACAAGACAAACTGATTTTTTTGTGGGGACTCTGTCACGGTATTTGCCTTTCCAGACACTACAAGATTTATTGCTGTTGCCGGCCAGTAACCACCTTATTTTTAATGGCAATGGCAGAACAGGAAGGATTTTTAGTTTATTTGAATCAAGCTGAGAGTTTATTGCACCGTGAAGTTTCTGAATCCAGCTGGCTTGTTGTGCGTTTGATTAACGAAAACAGAGTAGACAGAAGCGGTGCTTCCCGTGACAAACGAGCGCAGCAGCGATGCCAGTCTCTAGGGAATCCAGCACGGTGCCACCGGCCTCGAGCACTGTGGAGACTGGGAAATTCTGCTAAAAGGTAGGGTAACGCTAGTGAAAAGCTGGCACCGGGCAGCACAAAGATGCTCTTTAATTCCAAGCTCCCGGTATTCCACCACAGAGCATCCAGCGACAGCTTAAGGATGAGGCTTTTTCCTTGAGTCTCCTCCTCACCTTTGTTAACGCGCTGCCCGCCGGGGCCGCTGCTCCGGCAGTAGGACACGGTCAGGCGGGCTGGAAGAGAAGAGCGGC